CCCCCCCCCCAAAAAAAATACTGATAGTTTTGTTCAGTTAAAATCTGCCAAAGCAGAAGTAAAATTAAGTAAATTAAAGCCAAAATTATATTTAGTATATGTGACACACAGCAGCCAAAATAGCACTCATTTTATTTATTTTTTCCTTTTTATTCCAGACATTCCCAAATGCATTAACTATATATCATTAAATATCTCGATTCTCACCTTTATCGATTATACTAGTTGATAGTGTGCGATGGTCAAAGTAGCCTAATAATGTAGTCTATTAACTATACATAAAAACCTGTCTGTTTCGCCTTAACTGTCACCCCCCATTTTTTAAAATAGGCAACAAAGTGCACTATCCAAACTTAAATTGTTGTAATTTATGAACACTTTAGAATACAGACCTAAGGTTGGTCTCTTTTTAAAGAAGCAAAAGTGGAATTTTTTCAAAAAATTCAAGTATCAAAAAGTTATAGACGTCTAAATTTACTGTAAAGAAAATGCGCTATACTAATTTTATTTGATTTTATATATAGTAAATATTTTACATAACAGGTTTTACTCTAAACTTGGTATAAAATTAAAGCCTTGTGTCTAAATAAGTTATGTTCCAAATTTGAAGTTGATATGAAAACAATTGAGGTTCCTGTGAGATTTTATTTAGGGCGTTATACCACAAACAGCCACCGGGTGCCATCCAAACTCCATTGAATTTTTTTAATGCATTTTTCTGTCACAAATGTCTAGATTTCTCTGTAAATCTTACTTCTATCTCAAAATAACCACCAAATATGGAATCCTGAGAGTCAGACCTTTCCAATGATATGTATTTTGTAAAGATTATAAAAAGTTTTTGTAAAATACCGTAATACATTTTGTAATATGACACTCGACACCGCCCACTAAGGGGGAGGAGACCGCCAAAAGATTTTAAAGTACCATTTCCATGGTAACACAATGTTTCCATCTGCAGACTAGACTTTTTTTGTGATTGTGAGTTTTTGGAAATGGGCTGGTTTGAGTATTTCTGTTACTGCTGATTTCCTGGGTTTTTCACAAACATTTCTCTCTAGAATGTACTCAGATTGGTGCCAAAAAAAACTTATAGGTGTTAGAAGTCATGAGAGGATGCCCTGACTGGTTCTAACTCGAAAATGATATGTATTTTGTCAAGATTATAAAAAGTTTTTGTAAAATACCGTAACACATTTTGTAATATGACACTCGACACCGCCCACTAAGGGGGAGGAGACCGCCAAAAGATTTTAAAGTACCATTTCCATGGTAAACGATATGTCTGATTTCAAAATGGTTTTCACAGGATGAATCTTGGGCTTCTAATCTTTCAAATTATATATAATTTATGATGATTACTAAAATATTTGATAGAGAAAAAGGACAACAAAAAAAAAAAAGAGTGCAAAACGTCCCACAGGTGGGACGGTGACAGTTAAGGGTTTAATACGACTGACTTTATATTTAATGTGAATTTAACATAGACAATGTTTTTATTCATATTAACTTTCAAAGTTAGGCTACTTATAACACTTTCATTGTACAGAAAGACAGCAAAGAACATTTACATTATCAAAGAAAATTTTCACAGTCTAGAGTTCAAGCACTCTCAAAAACTCCCATTAAAATCACTGAAGCTGTTTACACTGTGAAATTAATATCTTACTTGCAGATTCATACACGCATCTGTGGTTTGTTGTTTCTAACGAGAGAATTTGCCAGAAAGAGGTATTCAGATGGTGAGTGAGTGAAGAAAACACCGGCATTTTAGCGATGACTCATCTGAACACCTCTGATTAGTCATTGCATTCATAAGCTCAAGAGCATCGTGTGTGATTGGTTATAATGCGCAGTGCTGTAAAAAACTCTCAGCGCCAGCCAGCAAACGCAGATTTGAATTTTAGAAGCTGATATGACGCGCTGAATGATTTAATCATGCTGGTGTGATTGTATCAAATATAGAAAATATTATTCGGCTATTTTTTGGCTTTTGGAAGCTGCATTCAAAATTCACTTGGCTTAGAAATCTGAGGGGGCACGTGCCTTTTAACTTGCTCAAAATCTTAGTTCATCTCTCAAAAGTAAGTATTTATGTTAATAAACGTATCAGTGCCATTAGAATGTAAAGTGCTTGTGTCATCATTCACAAACAAGATTGACTGAAAGAGACTGGATAGGATTCAGTTACACTTTTACTAGTGGTCCGAGAAAAAAACCCCCATACATTACACCGTCATTGTGATATAGAAAAGTTGTCTAGATGGTTGACTAGATCAACCATTTTGCATTTAATGACTTGTACAATTAACTAATGACTAGATGTTTTGAGCTGTTAATTTCATTGACGGATAATTTTCATCATAATTTTCGTCAACGACATTTTTTTCACCAACGAGACGATAACGAACTAAAACTCTTTTTGAATGACAAAAACTATGATGTAAATCTATTGATATTTTTGTCAATGAATAAAAACGAGATGAAAATGTTAGGGAGGGACGATTTGGGAAGAGATTCATTCAGAACGAATCTGCTGCGTGGTTCGAAGGTTAGATGCGCACATATGAACCGGCGGGACATAAACTAACATACACTTGCTGCACGTTGCATAAAATGTTAAAAAATGTCAAAATGTGGGAGTAAGAGAAGAGCAGACATATGGATAAATCTGACCAAATTGAGTTCTCTCTTGCGTCGTCAGGTTTTCAGAGCGCAGACACTGAAGCATACACACACAGAAAGCTACTCGTTCACGCCGCATGAACGGAGGATTACACACAAAATGATGTCGAATTGTCCGTTTTGACGAGTATTGTCGTAAACACAGTTAATTACGTCTTAAGTGAATGTAAACAGCATCAAATGTATCAGTGCATTGCATCCATTGCAGCTGTGCATTTGGTTTTAAAGGCTAATTTAGTTGCTATTGTCCGAGTCATTGATATTGATCAAGCAACAACAGAAAGACAGAAAATCACTCACTGCTCTTGACTGAAAAACTTTAGTAGCCCTAAAGATTCATCTAAATTTATTTATAGAAATAAATATGTCTGCTTGAAAGAATGAAGAATATGGTAAACAAGTTGCTATGAAGAATGCATAATTAGCCTATATAACCATTGGTATTTCATTAAAAAGAAGACCATGTTCTTGTTCTTTAAGAGAAGTGGTTTTATTTAATTTTAGCATAAAGGCATGTTGCGTCACTGCAGTAGCCGACTAAATTTACTGTAGATTTAGTCGACTATAATGAGAAACTGCTTTTATGATGTGCACAAGTGACTAGTTGATGTGGAGTAGTTATGAGAATTTCATTTCTGATCTAAGAAATGCACCTAAACGACTGAGAAAAACTGTAATACATCCTGCCATCTTAGAGACTTGAGAAGTTTTTTCAGGTTGTAAAGCAATATAAATAATAAATAATATATATAACAGTGAAATAATGTATTTTAGGGGATGCACCAGGAGAAAAGCAGAGGACCTAATACTGAGCCTTGTGACATGCCATACTTGTATTTGATGAGGTGTCTCAATTTACATGAACAAAATGTTTGTGGTCAAATAGGACTTAAACCACAAATGCCAACATAATTCTCAAGATGTCTGAGAGAATGTTGTAGTCTATGTTGTGAAAAGATTTAATACCACTAAAAGTAAGATGTAGTTGCAAGCAAATGAACCACATAGTTTAGTAGCTTAATACGAACAGTATCTAACATACATGTTGTTTGTTTTGATGTTTGCTGCTTTGTGCCATTAAACTGGGGTTAATTTGTATTTGTCTTTTTTCCCTTAGACCTGATGCTACTGAAAGTGGAAAGTCAAGATTTTAATGAAATTGAAAAGAAAGATCATGATTTCAGTTTTGTAGAAAAGTCATTTAGTTGCTCAAAGACTGAAACGACTTCACAAAAAAGAGCAAATGGAAGTTATTTCATCTGCCAACATTGTGGAAAAAGTTTTAACGGAAAAGGAAACCTTAACAAACACAAGCTAATTCACACTGGAGAGAAGCCTTTCACCTGCCCTCAGTGTGGAAAAAGTTTTACTCAAAAAGCAATCCTTGAGAGACACATTAGAATTCACACCGGTGAGAAGCCTTACACATGCATACTGTGTGGAAATAGTTTCGTTCAAAAAGGAATCCTCAAAACTCACATGAAAAGTCATACTGGAGAAAAGCCTTTCAACTGCAAACTATGTGGAAGAAGATTCGTTCAAAAAGCAAGCCTTAGAAACCACATGAGAATTCATACTGGAGAACAGCCTTACACCTGCCCTCAATGTGGACAGAGTTTCACTCAAAAAGGAAACCTTACACAACACATGAGAATTCACACTGGAGAGAAGCCTTACACCTGCCAACAGTGTGGAAGGGGTTTCACTCATAAAGGAAACCTTAAAAAACACATGAACAGTCACACTGGAGAGAAGCCGTTCACCTGCAATCAGTGTGGCAAGAGTTTCACAGCAGAACTAAACCTTAGGTATCACATGAACAGTCACACTGGAGAGAAGTTGTTCACATGTGGTCAGTGTGGAAAGAGTTTCAGACGTAAAGACACCCTTAATTTCCACATGAAGATTCACCTTTTATGACCAGTGTAATAAACAGTTCTTTGCCTTCACATCCATCATTTTGTCCAAATTTGACTTCCCCACCTTCATGACCTTCTTTCACACTGGTCTTCTTTTCCTCAGTTTCAAAAATTGAGTGGATGCAGTAAACACCCTCTAATGTTGATTGTATGGAGGAGTCACTCCAATCCATATGTTGATTTAAAACATTAGTTAAACTTCTGTCTCACTGTGAAATTTTATGCATAAAATGCACATGTTGTAAATCGACTTGAATATGGCTGCTGTTGGTGCTCATTGGTGACATCTGGAAGCTGGTTCCAGCAAGCAGTCTCATTATTGAACCTAGGTGTTTCTAGCTCATTAATTAGTCAAAAGTAATTAGTAAATGCAGCTTAAAATTTTGCAGTAAAGACAAATGTATACAGTCGAAGACATAGCCTTTTGAAGTATATGCCACTGATAGTATACATCACATGCACACTAGAAAGTTTCTTCTTCAGAAGTCATGTTTTAAGTGTAGTTTTCCACGTGTTCTCACTTCAACTTACGTACAGTGGCCTGATTTGTGACAGAATACACCCACCACCAGTGATGAATTCAGCAGATTGTCTTCTTCACCTACATCAAGGAAACAGGACTATTGAGGACTATGAGTTTCTTGAACTTACCAACCATCCAGATTTTAACGACATTGCCCTTAAGGACATTTTTGCGGATGACTAAATTAACCCATTTGCTTGCAGCTTCCCGGGGGTAAAGATCCACTAGTACAGGGGTAGGGAATGTCTGTCATAGAGAGCAGAGTTTACATTTACATTTAGTCATTTAGCAGACGCTTTTATCCAAAGCAACTTACAAATGAGGACAATAGAAGCAATCAAAACTATATATATCAGTGGTGTTCCGTCCATATAAGCTGCGAATGCACCGCATACCCAGGCCGTCTGAGAGAATCATGGGCTAATTAATATAAACATGATTATAAGTTGATCCCTTGTAATTTGAGATGTGACTTCAAGCTTAATAAAGTGTTGGGAATAAGTTTCTGTAAATCTAAGTCAGTTGCGGTTGCTTCCGGGCGAGTGGATTCTCGGCAGGTTTCTCGCCTCCGCTCTGTTGCTATAACTCGTCAGGATTATAGCGTGTTCTCAGTGATTTGCTGGTCTGCGGGAGGTTTCATGCGCGAGATAAGCTGTCCGCAAAATGCTCGCCCAAGCGGAAAAATGCGCTGTTGCTGTCAGATCTCGACTGCCTAAACTTGTGGAAGCCCGTTTCCGCCACTGCATAAAAAAAAGAAAAAAAAGAAAAAGGTAATTGCGACTTTTCATCTCAGAATTGCGTGATATAAAGTCACAATTGCGTGTTAAAGTCCAATTTTGATGGAGGGAAAAAAGACTGATATGTTCTCAGAATTGCGAGTTTATATCTCACAATTGCGAGAAAAAAAGTCTGAATTGCGAGATATAAACTCGCAATTCGGACTTTTTTTCTCTCGCAATTCAGACTTTTTTTCTCAGAATTGCGAGTTTGTATCACGCAATTCTGAGAAAAAAAGTCAGAATTGTGAGATAAAAAGTCGCAATTACCTCTTTTATTTTTTATTCAGTGGCGGAAACGGGCTTCCATATAAACTCGACTAAATCATATGAAAAAAAAAACATCATAACCGTATATTTTCCGTATACTTGTGTCGCTTACAATTCAAGTCCTTTTCTGATTTTAATTTTTGTTTGCAACGTTACATGGCAATATTTTAAAGATATTATTATTATTTTGTTTATTTATTTAATGAAACTTTTTTTTTGTGTGTGTGTGTGTGTGTTTTGCATGGTCTACTATTGGAGTAGTGTCACCCGGGTGGGAATTTTATCACCTGCCTGTAGCCTTAGTGTAATCCAGGGGCCTGTTTCAGAAAGTTTGCAAAGAAAAGCGAGCATTTCACATCCTGACTTGAAATAACCTAACATCAATCGGGACTAAAGTTGTTTCATAAACAACAATTAAAGTTCACGCAATCTCACTAATTTGATTGATCCAGGTTGGTATCATAAAGTAACTACGTTATTTGGTGTTTTTTACTCGGAAAAGCAGCTGTTTTCTAGCATTTGAATAACTACCTGAAACTAGGCTATAGAAGAAGGATTGGAGATGAATTTCCATCTCACTAATTTGATTGATCCAGGTTCAGTGGCTGCGTCCGAAACCGCATTCTCAATGAGTAGGTACTTAATTTCAACAAGTTCTTACTTCTCACTAAAAGAGTATGTGCTCTACAGCCAAATCCCGTTTAGTATGAATGCGATCCAGACATCATCCGCCATGTTGATGTTATCATGTGACTTACGACACTATAACAAGCGTCAGTCACACTTTTAAACACATTTCAGTTTTGCTATAGTAAATCTACAAATTCACACTCTGTGTACCATATTCAAGTGATTTTACTATGATTACGTACAGCAATAAATGAGTGAGGTTGACATGGCAACCAGATACATCGCAAGGCAGTGCTTCTATTTTGCCACACTAAATTAGTGACATGTTGAAAATAATGCACAATAAACAGGAAGCTTTTATTAAGCTAGTTTTATTATATGTATTATACCGTATTGGCCCGAATATAAGACGACCCTGATTATAAGACGATCCCCCTTTTTCCAGATGTACCTTTTGGACCTCCACGCTGTTCAATCCTTGTGTTGTTTTTTTCTGAACACAAAAGGTGATTTTGGTCAAGTTTGTTCTGCTGGTTTCTGTTCATACAACATCAGTCAATGGAGCCCAAGTTTCAGAAGCTTCATGGAATTATTTGATGATGCTTTTGAAGCTTCTGAAACTCGGGCTCCATTGGAAACAAAATGATCTTTCTTCATAATTCATCAGTCATCAGTCCAAAAGAAGTGAAATAAAGATAGATTAACGTGATTATTACGTTTTGAATATGGATTTTTCTTACAAAAACGCATCGATTCGCTACAGGACTCCTTTGTTCACCCCCCCCGGAGCCGTGCGAGACACTTTTTTTTATGGAAGGATGCTCTTTATTTAACTTCTTTTGGACTGATGAACTGCAACCCGTGCTGACTAACATTAAACAGCTTGGAAGATCAAAGACAATTTTTAATATAACTCCGATTGGATTCATCTGAAAGAAGGAAGTCATATACACCTAGGATGGCTTGAGGGTGAGTAAATAATGGGCTATTTTTCATTTTTGGGTGAACTATCCCTTTAAGTGTTTATGTAGTTAATAAAGTCTTACTTGTACCACACTTGAGGTTGTTCATTGTTTGCTCATAACTGAAGTCTTTCTTGCAGTAGTATTGTACAGCAAGAAAGTTATTTTCCTTAACCGGGAAATTAACGTTCTTAGAATTGACAGACAATTAAGACTGAGATGTCAAGTAAATACTTACAGTGGATCTAAATATTTATAACTAGTTATAATTAGTTATGAATATTTCCCCTTTGAGCTGATTCGCTACATCTAATTATTGCTTGGATTTTATACTTTAGTTATTTATTAGTCTAAACTTAAATATCTCCTTTACTTTTTGTTTTGATTTAGCTTTACTTTACTTTTTCTTTATTATCTTATGGTATTTTCCCTTTTATTACATGTTTCTCTCTGTGGTCTTGAGTGGGGGGGTGTGTGTGTGTGTGTGTTTGTTTGTTTTGTTCCCTCCAGTCCTGCTCAACCAGCCTGAGACTCCCTGCCTGTTGGTTCCCAAAGGCGGTCTGCCAACAAAGCCTGGTGCTGAGAACCTAATCTCTGATACTAGCCTGCTTTGAGTTCCTCTGATTGCATGCTCAGCTGTTCTCTGATCTGGTCTTCTCCCCATCCTTCCGCCTGGTTTGGCCAACAACTGAGACTGATCTCCAGACTGTCTACTTCTTGGGGCATAGTTCTCTTCCTGCTGGTTGGAGCTGTCTCAAGATTGTCCACCCCGTGCTGTGTGAACTTGCGTGTTTTCACTCACTCTGCATTTGGGTCCCTTTCGGCTGATCCTGACAGTTTATGCTTCCCAAAATGAGATGAAATTGTTTTTAAGCACTTGACTAATCATTTGAACAGCTGCTTTGAAATTCTTATGAATAGAGTGATTCAATCCAAGTCTCTAAAGTGACTGTATGAGTTTCTTTCTTCTTTTCAACATAATGGAAGATATTTTGAAAAATGTTGGTAACCAGACAGTTGATGGTAGCCAACGAAAATCATAGTATGAAAAAAAAAATACTATGGAAGTCAGAGGCTCCCAGCAATGGTTTGGTTACAAACATTCTTCACAATATCATCTTGTGTATTCAAAAGAAGAAGAAAAAAAACTCATACAGGTTTAGAGCATGATGGTGAGTAAATGATGACAATTTTCATTTGTGGGTGAACTATCCCTTTAAAAAAGGGGTGTCCAGACCAGTTCCTGGAGGGCCACTGTCCTACATAGTTTAGCTCTATATATATAATTAAACACACCTGAACCAGCTAATCAAGGTCTTCCGACACACAGAAGGTATGTTCCGATTGACAGGGTCCCTACGCAGTGTTCACTCCTCTCTGCTCCCTAAGCACGGGATATCCATTGAAGTGGACTTCGCTGACAAATATTGCTCATTTGGAATGCCCTGGAACAACATCAAAGAAAGGCAATGATGGGGTCACACAGATTATGATATACCATATATAAATATTGTAATTTATTTTACTTTCAAGTTTAAATGCATATAAAATACATATACATTTAGACTATATTAGATACATAATTTTATGTTTAGACTGTTAACAGATTGTATTGTACAATTTCTTTCCCACACGCAGCCTCATAGTTAACTCTCCTGAGATAAAGTAAAATAAAAGACAGAGCCTAAGCTGTTTCTCACCAGTTTTACTTAGTTTCACCTATTCATACAATACAATAAAATGTAAAATTCATTGCCATAACCATAAATAAATACTCAAATTTGTATAATAATAACATTTATTGTAACCCCTCTATTGCAGAGCCTTAAAAAACTCTTTCAACGGCTCTGCTCCATCATTAGTTCTGACTGTTGACGCGGTGTGCAATGACGGGTGATTTTTTTTCCCTCTCCACTTCCTGTGAAGTGATGTATCGATGTTCCCTTATTCCCTATGCCGTTCGCAGAGCACCTTCAAACTGAACATGTTCGCTCCCTTTGG